CGGAGAAAATCGTCAATTCTGTTTTGAGAGAGACCGTAGTGACTGAGATAGTGAATTCACATGATCTCAGCATTTTTCATTGTAGATCAACTCTATTTTATTATCGTTTTCTTTGTTTGCATAGCGTTTGTAAATTTACACTTTGCAAGATCTGTATATTATGTTCCCGTAAATAATCTCATCGGAGTTCGTTAATTTCAACCATATCGGAAGCTGAAGTTTCGGTCATTGACCGGATAACTAAAGGGTAAGTGTTTCGACGTTCAACCCAAAGGTTCCCGTTCGACTACTGAAAGGGACACAAAAAGTGTTTTACGCGCAGCTGATCAGTCCCGGCAGGGGTCAAACAGTTGTCTACTGTTCGCATCGCAATTCTATTTCAGCCCTACGTTAGCTTGATAACTAGCACTTGCATGATACTTGAAGAGAATTCATTTGCTACATTATATAGTGTAATGCGAATTGTATTATCTTGAAAAATGAAGTCACTTATTCCGGTGGAATTGGTATCCCAAAAGGCCTACAATCAAAAGCACATTTTATCTTGTTTTTCTGTGAGAAGTTTATGCTCGTTTCGGAGTTGCAGATGTACTCAGATCCAAATTGCTAGCAGCGTTGCGTGGCCCGTGTGTTCCAGTTTCATCGCTGTTCCGCTCTCCGGAACTTTCGTGCACTTCTGCTCTTATTGATCATTTTCTTCCCTAATAATCAATGGTACTATTATCTATTCACTAAATCGTATCAGAGTATTTAATTAAAAATCGGATATCACTTCGTCGCTTGGAGGTGAATTTAAGTAAAACTTGGGCGATTATGCATACATACCCATGTGCGTATGCTACAACGAGGTTCAGTTTAGACGCGATCGAATCATGGCAGCAATTTAGTTTGTCAAAAATTATTCACATCACGTGATATTCTCCAAAACCCGTAGTACTTCTTCTTTCGCCACATGAGTTCATTCGAACTAATGGCGCTGCTCACGCAACAAAACCTTCGAATTTTAACATTGATTTAGTCAGGTGTTAGCGTTGCACTTGGTAAACAGTGAACTACTTGTTTGTGACAAAAAAGACTATTCGCTCGCATTATACAACTGCCAACCGTCATTTTCACCTTATTGCACTGTCTCAAATTTGAAATTTGCTATTTCTCGGCAAATTCATTCACACAATGTAAATTCCAATGACAATGCATGCATATTACGCACAAATTAGAATTATTTAAGCCAAGCTACCACCCCCGCCCACCTTATATGACCTTATTTTCTCATTCATTCTGACGCCCTACCTCGGACATTCGTTCACGCGTGATGACTGACTATCTGGCTACACGAACAGTGAGGGTATAGCACATTTCGAGGCGGTCTCACATCACATCACTTCGAACCGGAAATCGCTACCGATTTGACACGTGCAGCGAAATGCGCTCCATCACTGGCGCCTACGGAGGGGTTGAACCGCGTCTAACCCACCCCAACCGCGGTCGCTCTACTCAGATAGATCAAGTACTTGCGTGCCATTCGAAGTCGGTTTTGGGATGAATGATGTGTCATCGTTTGGGCAAGCTTCGTAGCTGACAAACACACACACACACACACACGGAACAGTGGAGTGAGACAGAACGAAACGGAATAGCTGGACTATTTAGATGTGGATAGAGTACAATCCAAGTGAAACTGAACTGCAAGCAGTAGCCGGAATGAAGGTGTATAATCCCTTGGGGAATATATCTGTCCCAAATCGTCAACACGCATGTACACGGACAGAGAAAGTGAGAGAGAAACATAGGCCTACACTTCTGGCGCTACATTATCGGTGCCTCTAGCCCAAACACTGACCAACAATATTCCACCAGGGTTGCATAGAAAATAATGAATTCCGAGGTTGAAGAAAGGAAGAACAGGCAGCAATCTACGATAGGCATTGATGCGCAGGACAGGACAGGAAAAGATACACAGCATCTGTGTGCGCGTGTGACAGAAAAGGAGGAAGGAGGTGTCGTTCTCGAATCTTTATTTTCCGACAAAGGTGACGTTTTGTGACAAGTTGCACCTCAAGTCGCACAAATACACACACACGCACGCATACACACGCACAAATTCTGCATAATTTTCAACTAGAAAATAGAAAGAAATTGGGTTCTTGTGGGTTGGAAAATGGAAGAGATAAAAATCGCCTTAATACCGGAAATCGTGAAGAATGAAGAGACTTTGGATGGCATTAAATAGCTTTGGAATTAACACCAAAAATTAGTGATTCAAAAAATGTATGTAAAGTATTAAAACCAATGTCGGATTTATCTTTTTCTCGGTTGGCTGATGCACAGCATGCATCACCACCACCGCCAACAACAACAACAACAACATTCCTCTCCTCCAGCCCACCTGGTATCTCTACCACTGGTGTTTTCCCAGGTTTGCATTAATCCAACTACTACTCACTCGGTTGGTAGCCGACAACATCATCGTCCATTTTGAAATCGAACCTGTCCAATCGAGGCTTTGTGGACGGGTGATGGCTGCTTTTCTGGGATGTCATCTGTATCAAACAATGTCGTCCACAATCCTGCAGGTTTTGTACCTGCCTTTTCACATTGATGCAGAATCTCTATAGTATTTTGATATCACTTTTTTCGACCGCTTACTGCTAACGAAGTGGAAGAGATTGATTCTATAGTTAACCAGGTTTCGGTTCCCTATCGCGTGACAGATAAATAGCATCATAAGATACGCACTTGCAATGCGAATTTTCTTCATCTTTTCATGCATTGCGCGGTGTTACAATAAATAGCACATCTCAAACGCCCCCAACTTATTGACTATGCAGTCTGGCACCGGTCCAGATCATCACTAGTGAACATTTTGAGAGTAGAAAGTAATAAATCCTGGTGAGAGAAAGGGAGAGAGAGAGCAAGCACGCTATCCGACTTTATTTTGTAGTTGAACATACCTGGAGATAGAACTCACCGACTGTGTTCCTCTAACCGGAACAAGCACGCACACTCACAGACAAACGACTGTGAGCATATTGTAGGCATGTATCTCAGAGCTCAAAACACGACCGGGATTGTGTAGAAATGCGTCTCAGTTCGGAGGTTTGGGCGGGGGTTAACGCTTCAGAACAAGATCGAGTTCAGCCTGTAACATCAATCAAAACCTGGTTCGATGTTAGTGGACGGATAAATGTCGATTGATAGATACGATGACTATATCATAGCTTGACTGACACATTTGAGTTGTCCAAACACTGTAACGACCAACATATATGCAGTCACACACACACACATGCACACACGCACACAGAAACAAACACTGATTCACATCCTCTAAAAATCGCATGTGGATAAAAGACATTGCCTAATTGTAATTTTACGCGCACACACAGGATCTGTTTGACGAAATGTTCCAAACTCTTGTATAGTTTAAATCCGATCG